CCTTCCTCCATACCTTCACCGACATACCAGTGGACGAAAGCACGCTTGGCGTACATCAAATCGAATTTATGATCAAGACGAGCCCACGCGTCAACGATGGCCGTAGTGTTGCTCAACATGCAGACAGCGCGTTGTACTTTAGCCAAGTCACCACCGGGAACAACGGTTGGTGGTTGGTAGTTGATACCAATTTTGAAACCAGTTGGGCACCAGTCGACGAATTGGATGTTGCGTTTGGTCTTGATGGTGGTGATTGCAGCATTGACATCTTTCGGTACGACATCCCCACGATATAAAAGACAACATGCCATGTATTTACCTTGTCGTGGATCACATTTAACCATCTGGTTATAAGGTTCGAAGCACGCATTGGTAATGTCCGACACGGACATCTGCTCGTGGTAAGCTTTCTCAGCAGAAATGACCGGGGCGTAGGTAGCCAATGGAAAGTGAATACGCGGGTAGGGCACCAAATTGGTTTGGAATTCAGTCAAATCGACGTTAAGAGCACCATCGAAGCGGAGGGACACCGTAATGGAAGACACGATTTGACCAATCAGACGGTTGAGATTGGTGTAAGCTGGACGTTCTATGTCCAAATTTCGACGACATATATCGTAGATGGCCTCGTTGTCAACCATGAAAGCACAGTCCGAATGCTCCAAGGTGGTATGAGTTGTCAAAATGGAATTGTATGGTTCAACAACCGCTGTTGATATGTGGGGAGCAGGGTAGACGGCAAACTGTAACTTTGACTTCTTTCCATAGTCAACCGAGAGCCGCTCCATAAGAAGAGACGTGAAACCAGAACCAGTGCCACCACCGAAGCTGTGGAAAACCAAGAAACCTTGAAGACCAGTACAGTGATCAGCCAACTTACGAACTCTGTCCAACACCATATCGATGTGCTCTTTCCCAATAGTGTAGTGGCCACGCGCATAGTTATTGGCGGCATCTTCTTTACCGGTGATCAGTTGTTCTGGGTGGAACAAGTGGCGGTACGTACCTGTACGAATTTCATCTATGTAAAAAACAAAGAATAACATGATGAAGCGGAAGAACTACCTGTGAACATGATCATCCTTTATGTACGTTCTCTGATTTTCAAAAATGAGCCAAACCAAAGTTCACAGGTTATCGAACTATTTTTCGCAGGAATGTTTTTTTTTTTTATATATGTAACCCCATATCTTCAGAGCATAATAAAATTAAATAAATGATCTAACTCAAAGACAAATTTAAAGACAGACTTAAAAACTATGTGTTACGAATTGTGAAATTGAATTTAATGCAAATTTGAACTGATTTCATGCCAAAATCATAATGTTTCGTCTACTTCCCAACACACTCTAAACCGCGATGTAAAACAAAGCGCGGCACACCAGAATGTATTCGTAAATCCCAAACCTCCCAAACATACCATTTTTATGTACGTACCTATAACTGTTGGCTCTAAGTCAATAAACACTGCACGTGGCACGTGATGTCCAGTTCCGGTCTCGTTGAAGAAAGTGCTGAATGAATTGTCCCCGCTTCCGGCAGTTTTTTCAGTGGATATCTGCCCATCAGGCTGGATGCCATGTTCCAGACAGTACAACTCCCAGCATGCATTACCAATCTGAGCACCGGCTTGGCCGACGTGTATTGATATACATTCACGCTGTAACGAAAACAGATTAGATATTGTTGTGACGAGCAAGCACGTGGATATCAGATAGTAGGTAATTTGTTCAATGGGGTTGTGAATTTTATATTTCCGTAGTAAATGTGAAACTCATGGCATTGGGTAAATCAAAACAGCTGCCTCCCCGCAGCAGGCCCTGGATGTTGATAAATTACTGATAATTCACAGGAAATGCGCATGCGCCTCAACAGACGTGACACTGTTCTCCGTGATTGGAGCGGTTTGCCGCCATTTGAAATAAAATAATACCGACTTCTGACTTTTGTTGGTTTTAGATCTTCAGGGCAAGATTCCGTGCACGCTGGCTGTTGTTTTATGTCGACTTTTTTCTGATATATTTTTTATTGGTTTTTAAACAAAATTCTGAATTATTTGAAAAAACGAGCAGCTAATTTTCAAACAGCAGAATAACAGAAAATTTACGCATTCTTTTATACTGAAAAGGTGATAACAACATCTAGTTCAAGTAGAAAGCATATTTCAATATAATAATAATAACTTTATTACACTACTATGTCATTAGAGGGCGCGCAGTATGGTAAAAAAATAAAATAAAATAAAATAAAATAAAATAAAATAAAA